GCGGCCGTACAGAGGAGGCCGTCCAACACGTCTACCAATTCATCGAACAAAACCCGCACCGAATCACACGTGACTTTCTGGGACTACTCGGCCACACTGTCAACCCTACCCAAGCCATATACTCAGCTGGCTTTCCATACCGGGGCTCTATGTTAATCAAGAAGGGCGGTGTCAATGGGAGCTTATCGTACAGTAGACAGGTGACCAAGCTCGAAAATCAGAAACACCGGCCTATTTGCTACTTTTTCTCGGGTATGGGCAGTCAGTGGACAGCTATGGCTAAGAGTCTGATGGATATCCAGGTGTTCGCGGAGTCCATACACTCTGCGGCGGATATATTGAAACCGTTTTCCATAGACTTGTTGTATGTGTTGCTGAGCGACGACCCCAAGGCGTTGGACGAAAAGATTCACCATTTCGTGGCCATCACGTCGATGCAGGTATGGTAGGGGTGCATACAATTATTTATTTGACCATCCTCATTATTGTTACCATCTTTAGTAATTTCTATAATTATTTATACCAGATGATTTATATAGATAAGCTAAGTTACAGTCTGTAAAATTAGTAAGGTTCATGATTTATTTAGAAAATTTTATTAATATATTTTATTAATTTAAAACAAATATAAATATAAAAAATAACAAGCGAATTTTATATTAAATAAAATTGGGGAGTGCTGTCGTACACCAATGATAAATAAATATAAATTTATTTAAATAGCTTATTTTATTTTGAATTGTATTGTTACAGTCTACATCAGCCAGTTTCACGTATTACAAATTATTATAAAGAGTAATACCTATAGCATTACTAAATGTCAATGCTACCTAATTTTAAAACTCAATGGTCTACATCAGAGACGTTCAAAATTTTTAAAATCCTCAAATTAGTGTTTTAAAATATTAGTAAACTTATTAACTATTCCAAACACTAGTATTTAATGAATTAAATGTGACTATGATATTTTGTTTGAAACATAATTTTCGTTTTGATTAATAGTATGAATATTTATTAATCTCTTTGTTTGGAAATATAGTAAAAACATTGACAAATAATTTAATCACAAGTTATACCTAGTTATGAGTATATGAGTAATAAAATTAATATAAATTTGAAAAATTAATATTAATATTCATGTCTATTTGAGCGTTTGAAAATAGCTGAGAATAGGGCGTGTGGTGCTAGCTCAATTATTATTGCATCGGCAGGTATGAGGGAACTGGAGTCGTGGAACAGTACAGGAGATATTAGGTTGTTCACGAAGTACTCCGCCGATGCATATTTTGCTGACTGGCTGTCCCAACCCTCCCGGGGCACAGACGTCGAGATCCATTTTGATGAACGCGGTTTCGGGTTAGTTAGCACTCGTGTCAGGGCATCCGTCATACCTTAAATTGAGATCAATTTATTTTAATTGTATATTAGATTTAAATGGCCTATTATTGTTAGCTATTGAATTGAATTTTTAAATACTGTATTTAAAGACCCTGTTTACTCGTACTCAATACTATGTGATGTTTAAATAAATTGTGAAATAATTGTTATAATGATTATATAATATTCATCCGGGGCATATTTCATTAAAATATGACATTGTTTTCTATGTTTAAATGATTTTAATTTCAATAATCAATAATACTGTACAATGCTCAGTGTACATCTAGATTAGTTTAGGTTTGAAACTGTACTAAATAAATTATTATGAATATATACTTGATAAATCGGGCAAAATTAACTATAAACTTGGTCTGAACTAAAATTATACAAGAACAAATTAAGTATTTTAAGTATTAATACTACATTTTATATATATTTAAAACCTACCTTTTGTAGCCGGTTCAAGTAAGGGTGAGTGGAACGGTATGTTTGCGCACTGGACCTCCCGGGCGAATATATTCTCGGCTACCAGTGCCTCAACACACTTCTCCACGTCCTTATAGGCGCCGGATATGGTGACCGAGTCCTGTGAGTTATGGCACGCCGTGTATACCCCCGGAGGGCACCGGGCTTTGGTCTGCTCCCAGGTTAGGCCTACGGCAGCCATCATACCGTGGGCTACGTTGGCGTCTTTGATTGCTTTCCCCCTCCAGTACGACGTGATGACCGCCTGTTCCCGTGTGAGACACCCGTCCGCATAGCCACAGGCGATCTCACCGAATGAATGGCCGATCACGTGATCAGGGGTTATACCGAGGGCTGTAAATACGTCCACTAAAGCCACCTAAATATACCAGTTTTAAATGATTAAGGTGACTTTAATAAATATTGAAGTATATATCATGTAGACTGTAACAATATAATTCAAAATAAAATAAGCTATTTAAATAAATTTATATATAATTATCATTGGTGTACTACAGCACTCCCCAATTTCATTTAATATAAAATTCGCATGGTTATTTTTATATATTTATATTTGTTTTAAATTAATAAATTATATTAATAAAATTTTCTAAATAAATCATGAACCTCACTAATTTTACCGACTATAACTTAGCTTATCTATATAAATCATCTGGTATAAATAATTATAGAAATTACTCAAAATGGTATCAATAATGACGATGGTCAAATAAATAATTTGTATGCACCCATACCTGCATCGACGTGATGGCCACGAAATGGTGAATCTTTTCGTCCAACGCCTTGGGGTCGTCGCTCAGCAACACATACAACAAGTCTATGGAAAACGGTTTCAATATATCCGCCGCCGAGTGTATGGACTCCGCGAACACCTGAATATCCATCAGACTCTTAGCCATAGCCGTCCACTGACTGCCCATACCCGAGAAAAAGTAGCAAATAGGCCGGTGCTTCTGATTTTCGAGCTTGGTCACTTGTCTACTGTACGATAAACCACCATTGGCACCGCCATTTTTGATTAACATAGAGCCCCGGTATGGAAAGCCCGCTGAGTATATGGCTTGGGTAGGGTTGACAGTGTGGCCGAGTAGTCCCAGAAAGTCACGTGTGATTCGGTGCGGGTTTTGTTCGATGAATTGGTAGACGTGTTGGACGGCCTCCTCTGTACGGCCGCATACGGTCACCAACCGAGGGATTGGGTCGCATATGAGGTGGTTGTCCGGTGAGGGCTGCCGACCCCCGGGCTTCATCAGCGAGTGACAGTTGACACCACCGATTCCAAACGAGTTGACACCTTGGTGAATTTAAATAGTTTAATATGTTATACAAATTAAAATTGCTAAAAATATAGTAAGATTTGCTAAAATATTTTAGTTATTAAATAATCAAACATTTTCTCTAAACATCTGTTGAAACACCAATATTAACTACCTTGCTGCTTATTATAACATTGTGTTATAGTTGTTTAATATAATTTTACAGTCCTTAAAATATTATAATCGGTATTTGTATCTAAAAATAATGTTTTCTGAGCTAAAATAAAATCTATATAGCTACTTAATCCAAAACTAATTATATAGGTACAATTATATGGTGGAGTATTAAATTATTTTAATATACTGCTCTAAATTTAATGTTTTATACAAGCTGTTATAAAATAAATATTCAAAGTGTTATGTTATTAAAATAAGCAAATATTTAAAATTATCGGATAGCGGAAAAACAATAAAACTTTTTGTCTATAAAACGTCAACATATTTAATATTATTTACAGTAAACTAGAAATAAACAAATTAAATTATATAACCAACCTGCAATACCAGGCTCATAGTCTCTATTTTGAGTCACAGGTACCAATGGCGGGCACATAGTGGCGATATCGGACTTGAGCGTTTTCATATTCAAATTAGCCGGGATACGTTTATTCTCGTACACAATGAGCAACTTGGCCAGGGATGCCACTCCGGAAGCACCCTCACCATGACCTATGCTACTTTTCAATAGGCCTACTGGTAAACTGGTGGTCCTATCCTTGCAATAGGCGTCTAAAATAGCTTTGGCCTCCTGGGGGTCACCGACCTTAGTACCGGTGCCGTGAGCTTCAAAGTAGTTGACGTCGTGGGGGTTAACACCCGCCTCCCGATAGGTGGTAACCATTAAGTCGTACTGACTCTCGGATGACGGGAAAAACATGCCTGCTTGTTTATAGCCATCGATGTTTGTACGCGAATGTAGCACGGTGGCGTATATGCGTTTTGCACCTGGTGCTTTTTGTAAAAATAATGAAGCTACCGTTTCGCCGCGTACGTAACCGTTTGCATCCTGGTCCCATACGCGCGACATACCTAGTAATTATTGTATAATTAATTTATAGTTAAAATAGTATAATTTAAAATAGATATGATATCTTCTGCCAAATTTAAATATTTAATTTAGATATTCATTGACATAAATTATCAGTATATTATTTATTGACAGTTTGATATCTATTAACCGTAATAACTTAGTTTAATTATACTCAATAATACTCCTACTCAAATTTCTAACAAAATAAAGTAAAGTAAATTAATATTTATTTTTACTGTATGTTGCATATAATTCATATTAATTAGAAAGTATCTCAAATTATTTGTAATAATGATTTCAATATGGCTAGTTTGTTAATGAAAAGAGTAATAAAAGTATTTTAATGTACAATAATACACATACTGGTTTTAACCAACATAGCATAATATGTAAAATGTATTAACTAAGCTAGTTATAATTCTAATACTATGTTACAGTCTGCATTAATATATTTACAATTATTTTATATGTTGTACAGTATTTTCCTAAATAAAACTAAATAACAATGATGTACCTTGTAATTAAATGTAAACAAACTTACCCTCTTTAGATCCTATACCATTAACTTGATAAATATGATTTGTGAACGGATTCAGGTTAACTGCCACTCCGGCTACAATAGCCTGGTCACATTTTCCAAGCCTTATATCTGTTACGGCAATATCCAGGGCCACCATAGAGGCAGCGCAGGCCACGTCTATCGACATACTGGGCCCGTGAAAGTCAAACATAAAGGACAGGCGATTGGCGTAAAAGGCTTTACTACTGCCCTGAAACCAAAACAGGGACTCCGTTTTGGACGCCTGTATGTCCTCCTGAACCTCTTGGGGCACACCGTCCGGCATAGTAACGGATGTATAGCCAACGTATACACCGGTATTACTGCCCCGTAATGTTTGTGGATTTATGCCTGATACAAATAAAATAAATTATTAAAGGTTGTAAAATATTCTTAAATATGATTTTGAATAAAATATAAATATAACTCTGAGTACCAAGATGATATTTATTAAATTTATATTAAACATGGTATAATTCACTTATATACTTATTACAGTTTCTAAAACAATATTAATTATAAAATGAGTGGCATAGTTTATTATGCCTAGGTTACTCACCGGCATCGCATATGGCCTCATAGGTAGTCTCCAGTAGTATACGCCCGGCCGGGTCCACCTCATCGGCCACTTTGGGAACGATACCGAAAAAACTTGTGTCCAATTTGTCCAACTCTTTCAGTTTACCCATACGTGGACTCATACCGTATAGGTCTGGGGGGGAGGGCAGTATAATTATATAAAAATTTACATTTGACATCCCGTTCCCCTAACCTGTAGGCCATCGCCTATCATCGCCGCTAATCATATCGACATTATTGTAGAGATTATCGCGAAACTCGTCCATTGAGTCGGACTCCGGGAACCGACCGCTAATACCGCTGATCACCACCTCATCGGTGCATATGTTTAGCGGGAACTTGGAGTTGGAGGCGCCGGTAGTACTCGTATTCGCAGCCATTGTCACGTGTAGCTAATGTTTAATAAAATTGTTTAATGTTTAAAAAATATGTGAGTATTTTTAATAGGAAAATATTTGCAAAAGTATTTACGGTTTAATAGTATTGCGATAGAAATGCTATAGAAAATGTAACCAGTTTCTAAAATCTGATTATACAATGTACGTAAACTATGCTTGTCGATTAGATATTTATTACACTATAATAATGTTGAAACTAATGGTAGTTACCTTAAAATATATTTTATATTTTATTTTGAATGCAAAAGTAATTAAAAAAAAGTTTTTGATATAATACGGAAATAAAGTTTTTTAAATAACAATTAATGCTATAAATGTTAATAATGTTTAAAACAAATGTGGGCTAATTATAAGGAATATTGGGTTTTTCGGTGTGGACACAACCATACGGCCAGTGGTCGAGTGAAAGCCGGCGTTTTGGGCCACAATCATGGGGTCGGTATTATTTTCAGACCTTAGAAAATAGGGTAATATCTCATTGTAGGACCAGCCCCGGGCTCCGTATACATTGGCCCAGCTATCGAAGTCCTTACGATTACCCCGACTATAAACCATATAATTTAAATTATGCGAGCCACCTACCACCCTACCACGGGGTATAGGTACCCGGCCACCCCATGCGTACCCAGCTCCATTTTGCGGTGTTGTCCTGATTTTAGAAATTAATAAGTTATAAATTGGTTATTTATCCAAATAATTTGTACACTATAGAATTAATGTATAGTAAAAATTAAAAATTTAAACTTGAAGCAAATTATGTATGAAATAAATGCACATCCATGTTTAATGTGATCCAAGTACTATTAAAAAAAAATTACCCTTAAAAAGTTATATAATATTGTGAATTTATAAGTTACAGTTTAACATATTGTAAATTACCAAAAATATAATGTTATATTTGGTAAGTAATTGTAAGTACAGTATATTACACTATAAAAATTGAAATTATTAAACCTATTACAAATAAAATTTAAAATTAACTTGGTAGAATAAATACTATTAAAAAAATCCTTAGGCTTCTATGCTGCCTCAAAAATTGTTAATCTAATTTGTCATATAAACAAGTTATATAATCTAGTTAATTTATAAATTACAGTTGGCGTAATACTAACTTAATTTGAAAATTATTTTATTGTATTGTAAATGATAAATATAAATAATTTTTAAGTCCATTAATTAATATAAATAAATCATTTGAGCACCTACCTAAAAGCCCAATCCACATCCGTGCCTATGATACGCCTTTCCATGGACGGCATATCCGTGAGCACAGTCTGCGGACCTCCAGCCTCCAGCACCAGCACCGACACATCGGACCTCTCGGACAGCCTACTGGCCACTATGGAGCCGGCAGTGCCCGCGCCCACCACAATATAATCATATGTAGACTGCACGGCACGGGTAGTGTCTATGGAGTTGTGGTCACGCGTACGCTGTAATGTAATTATAGAGATCGTGATTAACTGTAGGGTAAGGCTGGGTGGGGCCGGTAGGGCCGGTAGTTGCTGTGTGGCCACCATTATGGGCTAGCTATGCATTTAATGCACTTAATGGTAGTTATAATGTTTGGAAATATATATTTAATTTAATATTGTTTTGATTACATATTATATGTATATTATTTGCTTAGCAATAGTAAACCCGCATATAATTTATACACTATTAAGTAATTAATGCATATTTAAAATGTCACTGAACTAGAGGTTTTTATACTGTAAATATAATATGTACAAAAATAAAAACTACCCTGATATAACATTAAATTAACGTTATTTGATAGTTTACACTAATATTTTAGTAAAATGCAAAAATATAGTCAATTTTACTTCGGTTTATAACTTTTTTGTTTTTATTATCAAGTATATTGAAATTAATTATTAAAATACTGTATTTAAATAATATAAATGTTTGTATTAATTTATTGTGCGTTATAAATAATTTATTAAATAAATATTTGTATAATATAAGTAAACTGTACTGATGCAATTACTAATTGTTTTATAAATAAGTTATATTTAGTATAATTTTTGAATCTAATAATTAGAGTCCAAAATTTTTTATATTTTTAAAAATATTGCAAAAATAAATTCTATTTTTAAACACAATTAGATATAAAAATCTATTTTTAAATATAGCCCCAAAATAGTTAAACAAAACTTTTTTTTATATCTAAAATTCAAGACTAAAACCACACAAAAGAAAATGATTTTTAAAAACTTTTATAATAGATATGAAATACATATAATTTAATTAACCAGTATATATATTATCAAATACTGTTTGTCGTACACATTAATAAATTCAAAAATAGTTACGGTTTTGATGTAAAACTTTGTTTTACGTAATAATCGCATTGAGTTTAATGCCAACAAATGGTGTATTCAATAATTTCCTGTAAATTTTGTGTCAATTTTTGTGTTAAAAATTAGTCTTTTTTGGGTGAAAATTATTTTCATAAGTCACTAGTAGTCGTATGTCTGTGAGCATCGGGTGTTTGTATCATAAACTTGTGTCCATACAAACACATTATAAAATTGTCAATATTGTTTTTAAAAAACTATTGATACTAGTATCTATTAAAGTTTAATTTGCCTAAAGTTAAATTAAAAATCTTAAAATTGTAAGTATTATTTATTTAAAATTAATTATATTAATTAAACATAACAAAATATACCAATTGTTATAATAATAAAACTTTATTAATCATAAAATTTTATTAAATTTTTTTGCTAGCTGTACAAAAGTATTTAAGAAATCTATTTTATTTTTAATTTAATTTTATAAATTGCAACTGGATTGATTTGTATCATCAGATTAAATTTAGTTTAACTTTATACGGATACATTTTAATTTTTTATAAGTCATTATAAATAAATAAATAAATAATTTATTTAACATATTAGAAAATACTATTTATTAAATAATTAAATAGTAAAATATTCCTTATAATTAGCCCACATTTGTTTGAACATTATTAACATTTATAGCATTAATTGTTATTTAAAAAACTTTATTTCCGTATTATATCAAAAACTTTTTAAAAAATTACTTTTGTATTCAAAATAAAATATAAAATATATTTTAAGGTAACTGCCATTAGTCTCAACATTATTATAGTGTAATAAATATCTAATCGACAAGCATAGTTTACGTACATTGTATAATCAGATTTTAGAAACTGGTTACATTTTCTACAGCATTTCTATCGCAATACTATTAAACCGTAAATACTTTTGCAAATATTTTCCTATTAAAAATAATCACATATTTTTGAATCACTAAAATTATTTATTTTATTAACCATTAGCTACACGTGACTATGGCTGCGAATACGGAATCTAATAATTAGAGTCCAAAATTTTTTATATTTTTAAAAATATTGCAAAAATAAATTCTATTTTTAAACACAATTAGATATAAAAATCTATTTTTAAATATAGCCCCAAAATAGTTAAACAAAA